AGGGGGTTGGGGGATGCCCTGGATGCAGCAAAGCAGATTCAGAGTGAAGAACAGCATTTTTACATTTCTGATGAAAATGCAAATTTCTGATTTTTTTTTTTTTAATTTATTTTTGCTTTGCCAGCACCCCTTTTTTTGACAGATTTCAGATCTGCATATGCAAACTCAGMCTGGTGATCAGCTCTCGCTGCGCTGCAGGGAGGCACCTGGAGGCTGATGATGGTGATGGAGAGGCACCAAGGGAGATGGAAGAGCTGCTCCTGCRTGTTCAATCCRTCTGACAGAGACCTRCAGCTGCRTGGGARCTCTCAGCAARRAATCYCAGAATCCCAGGATGGGTCAGGCTGGAAGGGAGCACAGAGGTCCCACCTCCCTGCTCCAGCAGGGTCATCCCAGAGCAYAGGACAYRGGATTGTGCCCAGATAATTCTGGAATAGCCCCAATGAGRAGASTCCACACCYTCTCTGGTCTCTGTTCAATGTTTGGTCACTGCCCAGGGAAGTTTTTCTTCCTCYTGTCCAGGTGGAACYTCCTGGCCATCAGTTCCTGCCYGTTCCTCCTGTGCCATTGCTGGGCKCCCCRGAGCAGAGCCTGGTCCATMAAACAYKCAGAAATTCAACAAYTCCTGCAACATCTCATCCAAACCAAAGCTGGGTCTGTGCCCGTGACCCAAACAGCAACAGGGAACACAAAGGCACAGGGTGAGACCCAACCCCTGGCCTGGTTTTGGCATGGGATGAGCAATCCCAGGACGTGGCTCAGGAATGAACAAGACTGGGGCCCCTTCCTGACAAACAAGTTGGGTTCAGCCACCCAGATTTGGTGGCCAGCAGCGTTCAATCGCAGGGACGTGGCCAGACAGGGTCAGCTGGCCCCAGAGCCCAGGTCTAGCAGGGGGAGCTCACCAGCAGAGGTGTTGCTCCCAAGGCTGGATGTGTGTCTGYCTCCTGGCAGGAGCAGACCACACACTGTCACCCGCTCCCTCCTCTGGAAATGTTTATTTTTAATTCCGTTGTGTAATGGATTTCAAACGAGCTGCCGTAAGATAGCAGTGAAASGCTGCAGCCACGTCCCTCTGAACACAATCCATGGGGTTGGAGTGGTTTTTTGGCCTGGATTTATGTTGGTTGAGTTGTCTGCATCTAAAAAAACAGTGGGGAGCTGCTGAAGAGCAGCAATGCTCCCAATGGTGATGCTGTAACAATGACCACCTGCAGTGGACACCTGGTTTTATTTGGGATGAGCCAAAATTAATCTGTGCAACACCAGCATTGACCACATGATTGGTTCAGTATTTCTTTAATTTTCCTCAGATACAAGAAACTCTTTCTGTTGCACTCAGAGCTCCAGAGACTGCCCCAGTTCCCCCATCATCCCTGGGTGCAGGACCTTTTCCAGAGGACTGCTGAATTCTTGGGAACAYGTGGATCCAAGCCTGAGTTCTTGCTGGGATGTGTTTTTGCAATGCCCAAACTGGGAATTGCTTGCTGCAGTGGTAATTCAGAGAATCATGGAAGGGTTTGGGTKGGAAGGGACCTCAAAGCTCATCCAGTGCCACCCCCTGCCGTGGGCAGAGACACCTTCCACTATCCCATAGTGGTCCAAGCCCTGTCCAAGCTGACCTTGGACACTTCCAGGGATCCAGGGGCAGCCACAGCTTCTGTGGGCACCCTGTGCCAGGGCCTCCCCACCCTCACAGAGAAGATTTTTTCCCTAATATCCCATCTAAACCTCTTTCAGTTTGAACCCTGGGGCTCTGCCTGGCAAGGCTGGGATGGGAAGAGGAGTCTGGGGTGTTCCCAACCATCATTATCCCATCCTAGGCAGGTTCAGCTTCCACTCCCTCCACAGACACTCATACCAGGAGAGTTCCCTRGCATGGCTGGAGGATCACCTGGGACCAAATCAACCTGGAAATGTGGCAGAGGCACCTACAGAGGGCAGCAGGTCTCCAGGTGAYGCTGTCCCTGGTGTCCCCAAGGGCTGCAGAGGTCACTTGTGGTCCATGGATCACCGAGGGAGGTGGAACTGGGCTGTTTCAGCCTTCACAGAATCACARAATGGTTTGGGTTGGAAGGGATCTTAAAAATCATCTCATTCCAATCCCTTGCCATGTGCAGGACACCTTCCACCATCCCAGGTTCCTTCCTCGGGGCATCTACATTGTTTTCTCTATGGGTTTCTCCCAGATTTGTCAAACATCAAAGAAAAAAGCAAAGCACAGTCGTGCCTGAAATCCTCCCAAAATCCTGGTGGGAATTTTCAGCCCATTTGCATTTTCAAAGGCATCAGTAAATCTGTTTGGCGATTCCACAACTCTGTAAATGTGTATATTGAGTTGCTGAATTATTTCTCCCTCAACACCAAAAAATTTCCCAAGACCTGAAAAACTAGAAATAATTTCCAAATAAAATCAAGACCTTTTCCAAAGGTTTTGACTGGTTCATTTGTATTGGCTTTCCTTGGATAAACCCACTAACCCAACTCATTGCAGCAATCCACAGAAGTAAAAAGCATTTAAAATCTCAGGACTGATATATATTTTTTCCACCTGTCTTTGCTGAAAAAAAAAGTGATTTCAGTTCAGCTTGCATTCAAAATATTTGTTGTAAATTGATTGCAGAAGTGCTAGGGAATAAAAATTCCTCCTTCAGTCTTACCTGGCTACTTAGTAAAGCCTCATCACCCAAACTGACAGGACTGGAGGAGTTTTAGGTGAACACCAACTCCTCAAAACTTCATTTAAAAAGGCTGTGATTGCCCTCAACTGATTTCCTTGGCTTTGTCAGGATGGGAAAGGTGAGAAAAGCCCATCTCAGACACCTGCTTTAAGTTGGGATGAATGCAGGGTGGGATCTGAACTACAGCTTTTCTCCCTTGTCCCTTCCTGCTCCCTCCCGTGGCTAGAGCTGGGTGAGATTTCCTG